TTTTTGCTTGAAAATATACCGCAATTCGGCATTTTTGTCGAAGCTCTATTGACTTGCACGATCACTTGCTTAATAGCGCACGACGCGGACGGCGGAGCAACTACTTTTATATATAGGGTATGAGTCGGACTCTCGTACCTTTGACAGAGGGGTATGCCTTGCGATGCCACCTTCTTTGGTTTAATACACAAATACCAGAGACGTAGTATTCATACTCATTTATTCATATTCATTTATTGATAAAATATAAGCTTACAGTATATACAACCAAATCGCTTAATATCTACACTAAATTTACAAAGTATGATAAAATACACAAGAAAAAAATCACCAATTATTAAATTTCCATACACAACATAAATTACAGCCACAACAGTAAAATGAGATCTACTTATTATATCATAAATTAAACTTATTTACCTAAACATATACTATTATACTATCTTACAAAGTTGTTTAAGAATATTAATACATTTTTATACATTGCGCTGGGTTTGTGAAAAAATATATCTGCGTCTGGATTGGCCCTGAGAAAACAGTTTATTAGTCTAATGGCTCTGAAAGTGGGACTGTTATCTGCGTGTGGGGAGCGCCACGTACGCGGACAGGAGAGGAGTCTACGTTTTCGTCTACCAACACCTCGCACATAATGTATACTCTTAGTCTGTGATCTAGTCTAGTCTACGAGTAGGGTTCCGCAAAATTTTAAAAGTATCGATATTTACTCGATGCCAAGTATCAAATCAAAAGTATCAGCTAAAACTTGGTACCGAGTAATATTTTTAAACATAAACATACATACATAAACACTCACGCCTGTCACCCAGAGGGGTAGGCAGAGGGACTTCCATTTGGCACGATCCTGACATACCTCTTTCGCCTCCTTTACATCCATATATCTACGCATACATGCTCGTCGGTTAGGGGTACTTCTAACGTGGCCCCTTTTCAAAATATCGTCAATTTGGTCGATAAACTTTTTTCTAGGGCGTCCCTTCCCGACTCGGCCGTTCACATCTGCCATATAAATTTGCTTTATCACTCTTTCCTCATTCTTTCTTTCTACATGACCAAACCACCGAAGCATTCCTTTCTTAATCCTGGTCAGAACATCATCTTGCATACCACATTTATCTCTTATCACGCAATTTCTCACCCTGTCATTCAGATTCAACCCTAGCATACTCCTTAAAGACCGCATTTCTACAGCATTTATTCTACTTTCGTGCTTCTTCTGCCACACCCAGCTTTCACTACCATACATTAAAGTAGGGACTAACACAGCATTATGAATTACCATACGTGTTTTTGCTTTTTGCTCATTAACTCTCCTTCTATTCTTATTTCACATACAGTTTTGCTTTCTTCTCTTTCAAAAACCATCACTTTTGTCTTACTTGCGTTCACTTTCATTCCCCTTTCTTTTAATTCCCAGTTCATTAATGTAACCATCATTTGCAACTCAGCCGCCGATGACGCAAATATGACTTGATCATCGGCATACAAAAGACATTTGACGGTTAACTCGCCCATTCTTAACCCACATTCTTCATCTTTCAAAGTTTGCAAACACCTGTCCATAAACAGGTTGAACAGCCAAGGGGAAGCTACACAGCCCTGTCTACCTTTTTGGATGCCAAACCAGTCCGAGTAGACCCCACTGATCCTGACACAAGCACTAGAGTCCCTATAAAGAGACCTCAATGCCTGTATCAAACCAGCGCTCAACCCATATGAGTTCAGTGTTTGTCATAACACATTCCTGTCCACTCTATCATAAGCCTTTTCCAAGTCCATGAACGCACAAAAAACTTTCGGTTTTTGGCCAAAAACTTCTCCGCAATCATGCGCATGGAAAAGACTTGATCTGTACACCCCATTCCCTTTCTAAAATATTAATTTAATTTTAATTTTTCTAATATTTTTGAAATATTAGAAAAATTAAATTACACAATGTATAACTAACTATCAATTACTGCACCCCTAATCTCTTACATCGCAATCTGACATGAAAAGTTGCCCCAGCTTTGGAAAATAATCTTCCTATCGACATTTAAGTTCCGAGTATTATGAGATATTTACTAGCAATGGAATATAATTTCTAGAAATACGATTTCATTTCCTCCCATTGCTCAAACGGATCCTTTTTAAGGCACATACAGGGCTTCTAAAGTACAACGATATTTCATCGCTGTCAAAGTTCATGTGCCTGGTTTGTCGAGTTTGAACTAATTTACGTTGAGGGCTCCAAAAATCATATTTTTGGTATCGGCAGTTGTTTCCGGAGAGGTCGTTGGTGGTGGCGATCCAAGTCAAAGAAATTGCACATGCATTTGCGCCTATAAAGTGTAAGATTTTAAAAAGTGGGTCTAAAATTATGGATATGGCTAAAATATGATTATTTTATATCTGTCCGAATCTGTTGTTCAAAACATGTGTAATTTACTGATACAACCTCATTCACAATAGAATTATCGGTAAATTCTATTACCGCATTTCTGGATTATAATTAATCGGGAATACTGATGCTATCCGATTTGTAGTACCTGTACCAGATAAAATCCTATGAATTCATTTTTTAAATGTGTAAGTATTCGGATTGCTGTTTCAAAAACACAATAGTTTATCATAATTTCCTATCAAATATCGTATTTTATTTGGATCTATCAGGCTTTTTTCACAGGGTGTTTATTTATGTAAGAACACACGTAATCGATAATAATCTTATCAGTTATTTAATTTTACTTACCTCTGAGTACTTATGTATTTTTAAATATTTTTCTTTTAAGTCAAAAGTATTTCCGCTAGACTTCATAATTTTAAAACAAATTTTACATTTCGCTGTTTTGATCAACTTTCCTAAAATATTTCCACACATCACTTTGTCCTCCGCTAGGAGGTGGCATTCTGAAGAAGCAAATCAAGCAGAGCACCTGAGTCAGCAATTAAAGACAGTAAAATTCACTTTTATAAACTTTTTCGTTTTGTCGACAAACTTAACACCAATCAATCAATATTGCCATTAAATTATATTAAATGTTGATATACTTCTTAACAAAAATAGTCTTCTACTCTATTTATAACTAATAGGTACACTTTACTTTAAGAACATAAATAGACAAATTTAAATCCAAATATTTTGCGTCATGATTCCACTATATTCATCAAAATTACGAGATATTGCTACTAAATGTATAAAATGTATTTACCTGGTCCCACATGAATTAATCAAACTATTATAAGGTTTTCCCCCAAAATCCTCATTCTATCGAGAGGGACGACACTATACATCGAAAAAGAAAGTACTATCTACTGACTTTTATCTGACAGTTTAATGAAGTGATAAAAGTATCGAGTAACTAAGAAAGTATCGATACTTAATAAATTACTCTAAGAAAAGTATCGAGTACAAAAATACTAGGTATCAAACTAAAAGTATCGATACTACTCAAGTATCGATACTTTTTGCGGATCCCTATCTACGAGTTTAGTCTAGTAGCACAATATATTTATTTATCTATAAGCATGAGCGTTTTCAGTTTTTAGCTGCAACGGTTACATAACCACTATATAGATTTCATATCGTTATTGAAAACCGTTTTCAGATATCGATATGAGTAGTAACGGTTTACTATTGAATGCACAAACGATAACCGAAACATAACCGCAAACTGCAACCAGTGCAATTAATTTATACGGTCGAAACTTTTTACGGGAAGGCTTTGAAATTTTGATTTCTGATCCGTAACTTTTTGTGTGACTTAAAGTGGTGGGGGTAAACATTACGTACGTACCGAGTCATTCGGTTGATCATTTCATAGATAATGATCATTCAAATCGCGAACGCAGGCCATTACATACCATAAAATATATAGTAATATAATTACAATTATAAGATTACAACGGTCTTTTTTGGGTTCTTCTAAAATTTTTTTGGGGGTTAGTTGTAGGAAAATAGGGAGATCAATATTTTTTTTTTTTTTTAAACTAACCCCACTTTTCTTTATCGTGGGGCAGTGTACAAGCATAAATTGTACAATGACATACATCCTGAGCCGGAATAATTATTCGTAGGCCATAAAAATACTTGAACCGTGCGGGATTCAAACCCGCGATTTTAGCGTTGTAATTCAATTGCTAAGTCGCTGCACTACGAAGCCATCAAATTTTATAAGTTAGTTTATGTAAAATGACAATTTATAAATTTTCTTTTTAATAAATTTTTGTTGACGTAATTATAATCGTGGTTTAATTCAAAGAAAATTACATAAATAATAGACAATTACCTAATTAACAAACTAAACCGATAATATCTCTTCTTAAGATCGAAGAAGATGATGCACTATATATATATATATATATATATATATATATATATATATATATATATATATATATATATATATATAATTAGCCTCTCACAATTGCACAAACTAAAAAATTAAGCAATTTTAACCATTTAAAATTCGACCTTATTGCTTTAGGTAATTATATCCACTATGTCCATTTTGCACCGTGTGTGAAAACTACCAAAACATCGCAACGAAATCCATATTCGCTTCATCTCTTTCTATACGTATTTATGTCATCGTCACAAGAACGAGAAACAACGAATATCAACGAAGGTCATTGGTTAGTTTAGTATTGGTGGGCCGTGTTGGCATATCGTTATCGTTCCAGTTTTCGTTTTACGTTTATAAATTATTTTTTTTCATAGTAACTTTAGTACGTTTTGGTTTTGGTTGGATATGTGATAACGGTTATAATTAGGTGTATCGATATGATATGATATTTTAATACATAACGTTATTATTAGTTACGTTTTGATATATCGGTCTCATGCCTATTTATCTAATATCTATCTATGATACCTATGATGTAGTAGAAAATTTATTTTGATTTCGATTCAGATTTTGGTTTGGACTATTTAAACTACCAACTTTTTAAACTACCTATTTCTTAATTACTGTGTTTTTATTACTATTTTATCGTATCAAAAGGAAATTACTTAGATTTGATTCTGAATAGTGAGTTAATAAATACCACATTCTCTTTGGTGTTCTGTGCGTGCTATACCTACTTCAAAAGGACAAAAACACTTGAGAGTATTTACTATTTTAATTTGGTGTTATTTTTAGCGATATACAATTTACAATGGGTAACTCGGGCCTTAGACAACATTATGATACCGCTTCGAAGACTGGTGTTTTACAAATATCTGATAGAAAATTAAAAGACATACCTGTGGAAGTGTTTAATTTATCAGAACATTTAAGAAATCTAGATTTATCTAAAAATAAAATTTCTATTGTACCAGATGACTTAAGTAGATTAAAAAATTTGAAGCAGCTGAACTTGAGTGCAAACCATATAGAGGTTTTACCAGATTCTTTGATATACCTTAAGAAACTTGAAATGTTAAATGTATCTAATAATTCCATTTGTTCTCTACCATCTCATTTTTCAAATTTAAATAACTTGAAACAAGTTTATTTAAGTCATAACAAATTTACAGAGTTCCCCCTACAATTACTATGCTTAAACAACTTAGAAGTAGTAGATCTTTCGAATAATAAAATAACTCGGATACCTAACGGGATGACAGATTTTTATGCAGCTGAGTTAAATTTAAGCCAAAATGAGATATCAACTCTCAGTGAGGACTTACATCAGGCTCCAAGGTTAAAAATATTAAGATTAGAGGAGAATTGTTTAAGCTTAGATGCAGTAAGACCTAGTTTATTAAGAGATTCCAAAATTCATACTATCAATTTGGATGGTAATCTATTTGAAACAAAACAATTGGTATCCGTAGAAGGATATAATGAATATACTGAAAGATACACAGCATTAAAGAAGAAAATGTTTTAATAACGTAAAAACTGCACAATATATTATGAATATTTGAACAAAGTATATGCAAGTTGCAAACATGGAAGTCTTTTAATGATTACAACTTATTCACTACTTGTAAGCTTCTCACTAAATCACAGTGTATTGTAATTTTTTTTAGTCATAATATGTTTATAAAATGTTAAAAATATTGCACATATAGTTTTTTAATACCTATATTTACTTTAACATCTTCATCATGTATTTTATATTGTAAATGTTTATGGTTGCATAGACAATTTATGAATTTTTGTAAGAATAAACAATTCCTTGAGTATTGCGACATATTATGCTTCATAATAAGTTAACTAAATATGTGTGTATGTGCAATTTACCATTTTTTATAAGATAAGGTTGTTAAATGAGCACACAGTCCACCTGATGGTGAGTGGTCACTGTAATACCAATCCCCTTTGGCTACGTTCGTTCACTGGTATGTACATACTTCAATAATTTACACGCTCAGCTTTGGAAAAATTTTGTAGACTGTAGACAAGCTAGGGAGTCCCTTCCTGAAATAAACAGTCGTCTAACCAAGGTTCTAATCCAGGTGCTATCAGTTTCTCGACTCCACAGAGTCAGTAATTTATTCTTGGGGCAATGTATACGCTATGACAACAAAGTCCTAGAAAATATACAAGGTCTCTCTATTACCAAGTTTAAATATTTAATTAAACAAAAACTGTATAAAAAGGTTATTATGATATAAATGAATACATGGTTAATAATAACCCCTGGTAATGAGGTGGGCTTCCAAGCTGTTTCTAAAATAAATTTTGTAAATATTCTGTGACTTGACATTGTAAAATTTATTTAAAAAAAGTCCCGCTGGGTTTCTTGCTGGTTCTTCCCAGGACAGAGGTTTTTTTTCGAACCAGTGGTAACGTAAAATATTGACTTTCAATAAGAATTACTTGTAATCTATATTGAATAAAAAATTATTTTATTTATTTATTTATTTTATCTAATGAGACTGAACAAGCCACAGATCAGGATAGTAACAAGTGCTATCACAGCACATGGCTCTTTTAACAAACATTTGTTTACCATAGGTGTTACTGATAGTCCCCTATGCAGAGCATGCATGGGAGAGGAAGAAACGGCGGCTCACATGTTACTGACATGTCCAGAAATCGCTTCATACAGGGCTAAACATCTCGGCACACCGGGATCACACCCCGAAGGCGCTTGCAACATCAAAGGACTGTTGAACTTCTTCGGGGAAATATAATGGCTCGAATAACCACATTATTCCTGCCCACACGCAAAATACGCGCTTGACGTGGAGTTGCGGAATACCGCCCGTCGTAAACTAAATTAAGTGGTTGCTGTGGTCCATAGACATCTACATATATCCTGGATATGAATCAAAATGCAAATGCGTTGTCACCCACGAGGGCTAAGATGGAATGCCTTGTCTCTAGTAAAAAGGGTCTCTGGTTCTCTACACCCATCATATGAAACACAGCAGCATTAAGCTGCCATTTTATGCTGGTACTCTGTGAGTGTGGTCCTTCCTGGTCAAACTGACCCATTCATGTTACAACTACAATAAAGCCACAGCATGGCTCTACCTCATATAAAAATAGTTTCTGTTTCTTACCAATTTACCATTTGGGAACTTTTATGTAGTTAATTAGGTTATTTTCCTTAAAGGTATACTCCAGAATTACTAATTGAAAACTTAATCTAGTGTTCAATATGCTATTATGCTTTTATCACCATGTGTTCTTGAGATATGCAAAATGAAAAATATTCAAAAATGGATGAATGTACATGCACTCACAGAAATAGATTTGTTGCAAGTGGGGCATCGCCAAGCTGCCAAACAACTTAAAATTAAAAAGATTAAATAGTTTCAAAAATTTTCATAATTTAAAAATTCAACTGTGTAGTAGTGGTTGTACTATTGCATATCTTTACGAGGCCGTTGTAAGAGGTGACAGAGGGTAACAAATCAGAAAATAAGCAGCTGTGCTTTCCTAATAATAATTTAAAAAAAAACTGCATTTGCAGCTTACCTATACCTACCCAAGTGTAACAACTACGATAAAAATATCCAGCCTCTATTCATGGTATGGTATTCCATGAAGGAGGCCTAAGTCCAGCTGTGGACTTTTGATAGCTATAACAGTAATGGTGACTCAATTTTAATTAAGAATTGCAGTCCTACACCTGATGGAATCTGATTTTGAATCAATTGAATTTTATTAAAATCCAAGGCAACCCGTAACCGAAGCTAGAGCACAATCTAATGGTGCTGCAAAACTTCAAGAATTGGAATGTTATGCCGGTTGTACACACTCGTATCGTCGTCTCGCGTGCCTTTTGTCGTGTTGAGGCTCGACACGAGAACACACCATGTACACACTCCGTTGTATCATTTGAACTCCGTATGCCCGCTGAGATGGACCTAGATGAAACTGTTTTGTCTTTGTGCTATTAGTTATTATAACTTTTTACACATTTATCATAAAAATAAAATTAATAAGACACCGCGAAAAAGATGGCGGATGGTTTCTATTTACCGTAACTGAACCATGTATTCCTATATATATAAAAAAGTACTCTGTGACCATGTACGATGAATAGAAAATAGTACATTTTCGTTTTCATCACGAGACCCTTTGACTCGAGCGCAAAAAACCGACACGCTTCCGAGAGCGCACGAGACGCGACGCGATGCGACGAGAGCACCATGTACACACTCGTACTCAGCGTCTCGATGAGCGTGTACAGCCGCCATTAAAATGTTAAATTGAATTCTTAGAATGTTAGTATTCAGCTATACACTGCAAGATGGAGCTCGCCGTCGCTTGCGACCACCTTGGCCTTGCTACTACTTATCCAGCTACATTGAGTTATACAAGACTAGAGGAGCAAACCACATTGCCGCGCGTCGAACAAAGTGTAACCACTATCCAAATGCGACGACGTAGCTTTGAAATCATTAAAATTTTTAAGTAAACATATATCTGTCTCACTTACACAAGTCGCGGAAAACAATATCGTCCCTAAGATTAGATAAAGATAGACACACAAACATGCAGTGGCGGGTTGGTGTTGCATACTTTATGAAATTTTACCCAAAATGAGCAATATAAAGGAGTTTTTTTTTAAAGTTGCAGTAAATTGTTTTTATTTTAAATTTGTATATTTTCTTATTAGATGAACAGAAGTAAGCATAAGTAATGAAATAAAATATGTTTTTATATATTATTTTTATTGTACTAATAAATCAAACAAAAAATAAAGCAAATAAAAAAAACAATTTTAGGTTTCTTAAGCGAGATCTGTGTTGAATATGCATAAGTTGTGAAATCATCACCAAGTGCTGCATCTTTAGGTACACTGCAAATTTATTAATATAATATAAAATAATAAAATATAATTAATAGACCATTCATGAATAAACTAAAATAAGAATAATTATTTTGTATAAAGGTTGAAACATAGTTTTTTATTTTTAAGCAATCAATTTTACTTGTTTATTTTAAAACAAAATTAACTTATTCCATAAATTATACAGTCTCCCATTAATGTTGAAAAATCACAAAGGCGGAAAAGTGGCAACATTGAACCTAAATTGCAATATGCGATATTTTATTTAATTTTTTAGTGTTTTAAACGTTAATATGAATATATAAATTAAAACTTACGTATGGAAAGTGATTCCGCTTGATTTATTATGTTTTTGTGACCTTGAAACGCATTCTTTCACTACGCATTTACCCATTTTTTGTTGTGAATCGTTCGGCTTAACTCGGACGGCGTCACCTTGAACACTGAACCGACGTTCGCTGAGTATAAGGCTGTGGCCTTATGTGAAGTGACAACGCTTTGGCGCGGAAATTACTTATCTAGTGTAACATATAAATCAATGTCCAGCTACAACCATGAAGTGTAGAGGTAATGCCGGCTGTACACGCTCGTCTCGTCGTCTCGCGTGCATTTCGTTGTGTTGAGGCTCACACGAGAACACACCATGTACACACTTATTGTGTCATTTGAACTCCGTATGCCCGCTTAGACGGACTTAGATAAAACTGTTGCTGCGTAAATTAATTACCGATTCTGTAAATATTGCATTTATTGCGTTATTCGGTAAAGATACTGAGTAATAAATTAATTATTTTTTTCGTTCACTACTACACCAATTCGGGCGGTTCGTGTACCATATTCCGCACTATGTGGTTCGATTCAGCTGTTCCTATCGTTTCGCACCTGTACCAAACTGCAGAGACCGATATAGTAGGTATTTAAAATTTTCAATGAAACGTCCGACTACTACATACATAAATGAATATTGCTCCGTTTATTGTTGCAGCTTTATCGCTGATTATGATAGGTTTACTCGATTCTTCTGTGTTATCACTTATCATACTTTAACCAAAATCCTTGAATGCTTTACAACAAGCAAAATAGTGCCTTGGTTGTTTGTTCGCCTAAAGGTTCTTGAAAACTCAATTATTCCCATGAAAATAAATGATTGTTCTTTTATTTTAATGTGTGATACCAAATCATCTAACTTGAAAAAATAATTAATTTATTACTCAGTATCTATATAGCGAATTACTCAATAAAGGCAATATTTACAGAATCGGTAATTAATTTGCAAACTATTCGCAGTGGTTTCAATGTTTTCAAATCAATATTTTACAAGAAAAACGTATTTTTCTACTTTCTCGCGGCGTTAAAAGTTTTTGATTTTTTATAAATAAAGTTATAAACTAATAATGTTTTTACTTATAATTACAAATATTTCTAACTATTCCGCAATTATCTAATTTTTTTCCGATGCAGCTTAAAGTGTCCGTAGGAAAGCGTTAAATAAGGGTGGCGCCACTGTAACTAGAGGGTAAATTTTGAAGATATTTTTATAACTTTTTATTGCACAATTTTTCACCGTAATTCTTTTTTCAAAATTTTTATTTTTTAATAATCACTCAACGTGTTTCACAGCGACTATGGGTAATATA